ATCACTACTATCTAGTTCCAGAACATTTCTAATAGCCCAAAAGGAAACTTCGTGCATTTTTGGCAGTCCTCCTCCGGTCCCCTCGGCCCCCTGGAAAACTCTCATCTGCTTCCTGTCTCTGTGGTTTGACCTGTCCTGCGTATTTCATAGAAATGAATCAACCAACATAATTTGGGCCAAATACAGTCCTTGCTTCAAGGTTACAAAGATGAATACAGCAATCTGCTCTTTGCCAGATCTCTGCTGACTGAAATAACCGTAGTACAAAGTGATAGTTGTTAATAGAAATATGAATATTTTTGTGGGAGCATAAGTGCAGGAGATAAGGGCAGGCTGCAAGAATGCAGATTTAGGGCTGGGGATTTAGCTCAGCGGTTCCGCCACCTGCCTTGCAAGCGCAAGGACCCAAGTTTGATCCCCGGTACCAAAAAAAAAAAAGAATGCAGATTTAAATTTGAGCAAGGAGACAAATTTCCATAGACCAATGAGGGCTGGTGTAGAGAAGAGGGCTGCAGTAGGAGAGAGAGAACAACATAAATGAGGCACAATGGCATGGAATTGGACAGCCCTGTGGTCAAAAGAGGCAGACAAAGCACACACCAAGCATTACCACCCCAGGACCTTTGCATTTGCTCTTGCCAATGCCTGGATACTCTTCTGAGACCCCTTCCTTACAGGTCACCTCAGCAAAGAGGACTTTCTTCACCTGTTTATTTAAAATAATACCCTTTATCCTTCTTATCCCTTTATTCTTTTGTTTATTTGTTTGCTTGTTGGTACTGGAGATTGAACTCAGGACCTTGTGCTTGCAAGGCAGGTGGAAGAACCACTGAGCTAAATCCCCAGTCCCTGTTTGTTTTTTGAGACAGGGTCTCACTATGTAGTTGAGACTGACCTGGAACTCACTATGTAGCCTAGGCTGGTCTCGAATTCACAGCGATCCTCCTGCCTCAGCCTTGCAAGTGCTGGTATTACAGGCGTGAGCCACGACGCCCAGCTCACCCCTTTATTCTTTATATAATTTATTACCCCTCAACCATATTATGTATGTGCATATTCATTTCTCCCTAGCATCCACCACAGGGCTGGGCATATAGTAGGTGCCCTATAAATAGTGTACTTAATGAATGAATGAGCAAACCGTTTGGTGGTTTTAGACTAGGGAGTCTCTCTGGGTGCCAAGCTGATTCCTGTTGTTGAGGACAAAGTAAAATTCAGTATAGAAATGTACAGGTCCACCCCACTAGATTCTTTGTCCCATCTGCTTGGCTGTTGGCTCTTTCACTTACCTACCTGTAAGCTCTTTCCTTTAAAAGGGAGAATGTGTATATGACCCCAAGACTTCTCACTTTATTTTTAATTTTTTTTATTGGTACTCATATCTGTTTATTTAGCAAACATTTACTGAACCCCTGCTATGTAGCAGGCCAATACTGGGGATACAGCTGAGAATGCAGCAGGCAGCTCCTGTCTTAGCAAAGCCCAGAATAGCAAGGGAGACCAGCAAACCAGCAAGTGAGCATGGTAGAAGGTGGTCCTCAAAAATACAACTTTAAACGTGGAAAAAAGCATCAGGTTCAAAGACAATCATTACAACATTATGCATAGCAGCAAAAAATTGGTTGAAATCCATCTGTCCAACAGTGAAGAAATATACACAGATTATTACATTGCCATTTAAATGATCTGTGAGGGCTGGGGAATTAGCTCAGTGACACCATGCCTGCCTTATAAGCACAAGGTCCTGAGTTCAATTCCTAGTACTGAAAAAAAAAAAAACTCAAGAAACATCCATAACAATGTGATGTAGAGGGATAACAGTTGTAATGAAAATTATGGTCTCAATGATATTCGTGTAGGCACAAAGGACCAGAAAAAAACTCAGAAAAATGTTAGTGATGGTTGTTAAAAGTACAATTCACAGCATAGTATTAGGTTGAACTGGATGACACTGCCATTTTTCTAAGTCAAGTTCATCTGGTTCAGTTTGAGGTATTGGTGGAAAGGGTCCAACATGAACTTGGATTCCAATCTCAGCTCCAGTACTATGCATTACCCAGGATGCTTCATCTTAGTTGTGTAACCTTAAATAAATTTAGTTTTAGCCTCTCTCTGGATCACACTTGTCTCATCTGTAAAATGAGCATAAAACTACGTTTGAGGGCATGGCAAAGATTAAAGGAAGTAGGGCAGGGGATTTAGCTCAGTGGTTCTGCCTCCTGCTTTGCAAGTGCAAGGTGTCGAGTTCAATCCCGGTACCCCCCGCAAAAAAAGGAATGCACGTAAGCAGCTTGGCACACTGCAATCCTTGAGTAAACAGTGGCCATAATTATGAGTGATTTTTCTTTCTTTACTGTGTTTTCCAAATTTCCCATAATTATAATCTTCCAAATTTTAAAACTAATAAGCACAACCATTTAATTTCACAAAAGGGTCACACACACTGTTCCCTGGGGATTGTGGGCCGGTTTCGGAGAATGCCGTTTTTTCCAGCAGCGATCAGAGGACACAGTCTGTCCCTTGCCCCAGCAGCTGCTGGCTGCACCCAGCACCCCAGCGCAACTGCCTCCACCCGCCTGCCGCACAGATCCCTATTCCTGACGCCTCTGACTAGCCTTCTTCCCTTCCGAGCAGCCTCTGGTTCCTGCCGCTGAGCTCAACTATTATCTAGTACCCAGGAGTAGGCTACAGAGTTTCTGTTTGGGGCGATGAAAGTTTTGAGAATAAACAGTGGTGAAAATAAAGGGTACAAACTTTGAGATGTAAGATGAACAAGTAAGTGACACAGTCAACTAATATGTACAGCGTGGGTGTGATGAATTGTATTTGATTATGATCATCATTATACAGTGTGTATGTGTATCACATCATCACTTTGTACTCATTAAATGAGTATGAAAAGCCGACCATAGTGGTGCACACCTGTGATTCCAGCACTTGGGAAGCTGAGACGGGAAGATGGCTGTGAGTTTGAGGCCAGCCTGGGCTGTGTAGCAAGACCCTGTCTCTAAAAACAAAAAGTGTATAAGAGCAACAATTATTTATTTCATGAAATAACCTGGGACTGAAGGACACCAAGATAAGAGATCTGTGGTTAGGCCCTTGTTCCGGCTTCGTGACTCTGACTTTGGGTAACTCAGCTCCTCTGAGGCTCAACTTTCTCTTCTGCACAATAGCTGATACCTTGCTGCCCTCGGAGGGAGATCCTGAAGCTCACATTTATGAAATGTGAAGAGCTCTCCTGCAAAACACTCAGTAAATGTCTGCTAGTATTGCCACCCCCCCTAAGGAAAACAGGAAAGGACTCTGTCACAACAAAATGACAGAGATTTTGTCGTAGTTTGTTTTCTTTTTAATTCTAAGGATGCCTGAAATTCTATGCTTTGATTTCTGTTCAGTGAAAATCCAAAATAAAGAAAGGAAGCAGGAAAACTAAGGAGAACTCTGGATTCCTGGCTCTTTGGCAGAAATGAGAAATGTACTGTTTTCTCTAGGGTGGCTTTGGGAGACCTCCAGGGCGGGGACGGTGAGAATCAGGATGAAGAGAAGAGCAACGTCACAATTTTGTCCTTGCACTGTCCTGAGGAGAAATATCCTCAGCCTGTCCCTCTTTATTCCCCCACCCCTCCCCTCTGCCTTCATATCTTAAGATGGCTTTCCCACCTTTCTCCAAGGACATTTCTCTCTCTCTGTCCATCCAAAGCAGCAAAAATGAATCATCTCACTCGCTTAGCCTCATGCCACCTGGCTCTCCCAGCAGGCCTCCTGTGGCTGTCCCTGGGCTAGGACTCACCCTCCTCCACAGTCAAGACTGTGGCTGGTTGTTCTTGGGAATGCTTCCCCTCCCTCCTCTGGGTTGGTGGCTCGACCTCTTCTACTCTAGGGATGATGAGAAATTGACCTTTTCCACTCTAGGGATGATGGGAAAAGACACAGCACTCCAAGTGACAACCCCACAAGCTGAGCAGAGGGGCAGGGGAAGCAAAGCAACCACTGGTTTGAGAGCTTTATGTGCCACCTCAAAGACCCTATTAGGTAGTTCTCAACATCTTCATTTTACTCACGAGGAGTCCAAGGCTCAGAGAACCGAAGGAACTTGTCCGAAGACGAACAGTTAGAAAGTAATGGAGGCAACGATCAAACCTGAATTTGTGGATTCCTGGATTCATTGCATTGTATCAGACTGGTGTGCGTGAGGGTGTGTGGGCGCAGCCAGGCAGCCGTCCGTCAGCATGGAAACCTAACAGACCGTACTTTGGGTGCTCACATACGGAAGAGGTGCTTAGTGTGTACCAGGAGTCCCTTGAGTCGCTGAGGATGGTGACACGAAGGGAAAGGGCTTGATGGGGTGCTCAGCTTCAAGATCACCTGAGCCCTGCCCACACCTCCTGGTGATGGAACTTCACTGTACCCTGCTGTGTCCAGGTTGCTTCACTTTGAACACGGGCATGCAACTGGTTTTTGAGGTTTTCAAATGTGCAGATGTAGGGTACGGCGTCACCTGCCTGTGCTTCTGGCTACTGGGGAGGTTGAGGCAGGGAGATGGGGAGTTGGAGGCCAGTCTGGGCAACTTAGTGACCTAGTGAGAGCCTGTCTCAAAATGTTTCAGAAGGTCTGAGGGTATAGGTCAGTGGTACAGCGCCAGCCTAGCATGCTGGAGGAGGCCGTGGGTTCAATTCCCAGCACCAGGGCACACCCTCCCGGAAAAAGGAAAAAGAAAAAGTGCAGGTGCTGGTGCTAGGGTCAGGGAGATAAATTGCTGACAGTGAATTCCCTAGTGAGGACAACTCTCTAGAGTGTGTTTGGCAGCAGAGGATGGAATTAACACCACTACTGTATATAAATTACCACGACGCGAGGTGATCAAAGGGAAGGGCGGATCCTGGGCAGAGTATCAGGGGGGCTTCCTGGGATGTGGCATTTGCCTCCAACCACTCTCGGTAGGTGTAAGATCTTACATCAGTGAAATGCTTTAAGTCAGATTGTTTAATTTTCTCCAGGAGTCCTGAGCTGGAGGCACATGCCCATCTTCCTCTCGGACAGCGGTGGAAACTGAAGCCCAGAAAGGCTGAGCCGGCAGCGCAAGTCAGCGGCCGTCCAGGACCTCACGTCGCGCCAGGTGGGCGGCCTCCAAGTCCTGTGCCCGGCCCCGGGGCGGGGCGGAAGGGCCGTGGGGGCGGAGAGCCTCACAGCAGTGTTTCAATCTCTGCCAGGCAGAGACCTACAAACAAAAAGGAATACAGTTGTACTGCACAGAAGAGGTGGACTTCACTGGTAAACTCACAGAGTTCCACAACCTTTCTCTGTGGAGTACTTCACATTCATGAAACTGACCTCTTTCGCTTTAAACTG